GCATGGCAAAGCATCATCCACAGCCCCACCACAATACCACCGCCCCTCCCACCTCCACAACAGCACCTCTGCCCTTTGAGTCATTTCATAACAGAGCTGCAAGTGTGCCTTGGCTGTCCCAGGCCCTGCCCCAAGGTCACGCACCCACAGTAGAAGACAGCTTTCTGCCAGGAGCGGAGCCGGTCTACCTTCTGGGCCACCGTGTGCGCAAACTCCACGAACTGGCAGCAGAAGGGTACCTCGCAAAGCAGCAGGATGAAGGCGTTCATGCTGGGGGCAGGTGGGGAAGCACGAGATGGCACCGTCACTCAAACTGCTCTTGGCCACCGCCCAGACCTCTGTGGGGTGGGGAGTAATGTACTCCCCAAAGGCAACTCCACCCAGAACCTATTATTAAGTGCAATTGAGCCAGTTCTGACTCACAGCAACCCTATATAATGTTTCTGAGGAACAGCTGGTAGGTTTGAACCAACTTTGTGATTAGCAGTTCAGTGCTTATCCTACAGTGTCACACCAGGACTCCCCAAAGCCCAGAGGGGGATATTTAGAATCAGGGTCTCTACAGGTGTCATTACTAAAGCTTGAGGGGGGGACCTAGGTCCCAGGCCTGGGGTCCGGGTGAGAGGATAAGGGGACACATCACCACCCTGGGTGCACCTGATCTCATCTGATCTCGGGAGCCAAGCACACTTAAAAGAGACAGAGGAAGGTGATGTGAAGACAGAGGTGGAGCTTGGCAGATATATGTAGGAGCTGGAACACCAATGAATGCCAATGACCCCGCGAGTTAGGACAGCGGTCTCAGTCTCTCCCTCAAAGGCTCCAGGAGAGATCACAGGACACCTTGATTTCAGACTCCCAGACTGGGTTAAGGCTGCCCTGGCAGGCAAGGAGCCCACCTTGGGGAAGGCTCCATCTGCAGGACCCTTGCTATTTTCTGATGGGCCCCTCCCCAGCCTCTTGTGCCCACACACTCATCCACCTCTGACCCCATCCGCCAGCAAGCCCTTCCCTCTACTCAGTCCTAGGGCAGCCTCACTTGTCCACACAGTGGCCCTGGGTGCCCCAAGTCTGGTTCAAGGGAGACACTGGAAGTACACCCAAGAGCAGCTGAAGTGGGGTCCCCCAGGCCTGACCTCACTAGGGGTAGGAAGGAGGTGAGGGCCACCCCCAGGCCCTGCAGGCAACTCACATCATCCACACGCCGGCCGCAATGTTGAGGGGGTGAACAGTGACGCAGTTGAAGAGACCGGAGACAGCACAAGCTTCAGGACAAGAGAGAAGGGAACGGGTCAGCGGCGAGGGGCAGATGCGCCTGGAGACGGAGGGGAGTCCGCGTGTTCAGCACCCACCCCCACCTGAGCCCCAGATGGACAATGGCTCTGCCCAGCGATCAGTGCCCCACCCATGGGGCTGGCCATAGTAGAGGTCCTCAGCTTGGATTTTGGTGAACATGGGGGGGGGGGTACGTCTCCTAAAACAAATGTGGACCATGTTCGGCCTGGACCCTCGCCCGGCTCCAACTCATGCTCCAGCTCAGGGACCCTGCCTCGGTTCCTTAGTCCTTCTGGCCACCCTCCCCCCGGGCAGCTGGCCCACCACTGAACCCCAGGTGAAGGACGGTCCCATGGGAGGAGTGCGTCTTCTTTTACCCTGAAAAGGCCCCAAATGTGGTTGCTCCCATGTCTCCTCTCCTGATTACACCACCAGGTGGGGTCTGAAGAAACAACCCCTAGCCCAAGAATACCAGGGCATGAGTAGACTCACCCTGCCACCCTGGACCAGGCAGGGCAGGAAGCTGGGCGCCCAAGGCCGAAATCAGCCACGGGCTCATTAAAATTGCAGCCGGCTGGCCCTGTGTACCTGGAATTCTCAGCCATTCTCCCGTGTAACCCAACCCAGACAGAGGCCATGGCAGCGCAAACCGATGAAGGAGCCCCAACCGCCCAGGAAGGAACACGTGCCTTCAGGCAGCGCAGAGGCAGCCAAGTGCCCCAGATGATGCCTCTGCTGATTCTGGTGGAGCTGGGTCTCAGCTGAAAGCCCAGTTAGCAGGTCCTTCTGCCTCTGCACCAGCCCGCAGTTCAGACAGGCAGGCTGCAGCCAGGAGCACCCTCCACAACAAAGGCCTTCCTGTGCATGGCAAAGCATCATCCACAGCCCCACCACAACACCGCAACACAGCACCGTGAATTCCTGGGGTGGGCCCAGGTACCCCTGTATGACACACACATAGCTGGGTGGGATCCAAGGTCAGCCTGGGAGTCAACAGGGCCACCAGGCGCCAGTGATGCACGGACCTGTCCTCCCAAGCCCCACTCTAACCTCGTGGGGTACAATGTCACGGCCTGACCAGGAGCTCCCAAAGCTCCATAGCTCTAAAGGGCAGGGCTAGGGACTCCAGCCTCTATGAGGCCTGGCCTCTGTTGGAAGACTGGCCCACTACTCCCCATTCGTCGCTAACCCAATGCTGAGGGAGGCAGGAAGGACGGAATAGACCAGTCAGATCCTTGTTTGCTTCTGGAAGGCCTGCCAAACAAAAAACAAGAATACCAAACCCACTGACGATGAGCAGATTCCAACTCACATCTGCCCTACAGGATCCTGTAAGTCTTTACAGAAGCAGACAGTGGCTGGTGCGTTTGAACCGCTGACCTCTGGGTTAGCAGACAAGCACTTACTCACAGGGCTCCAGAAAGCCTGCTCTATGATCTTTTACTTCTGCATCTGCCTGCCGGATGGTTCTTCCTGAGCTACCCGAGGCTGGCCACCGGCACTCAAGGCTGCACTGTGTGTCCAGGACAGGGCCATGGCTGGCGGAGGCAGTGGAGAAGAAGTCAGCCTGGAAGGTAGACTGGGCCCTGACCTCCAAGTGGGCCAAGGGGCGGTCTCCCTGGGCCCACTGCCCAGCCTTTCTGGGGCCACCTGTCCCGGGGCACCTTCTGACTTCAAGAAACTTCGTAGTTTCCGCTTCCTACCACAGATCCTGCAGGATGTGCACTGCCCCGTTAGTAAACAAAATGCGATGTTGCCACCACCCACTCCAGGTCCACAGGTGAGGCTTGCTAGGCAGGGGCGGGCTAAGCTGGGCGAACCCTTTCAGGGGCTGCTTCTGTGGTCTTCGCCAGGGGCACACCCCCAGATCCCAGCCTGACTGCCGGTGAGGCTCCCCAGAACCAGCAGCCAAGGCCAGATGCTGGTAACCATGGGAACCTCAGGGAGACCCAGCCCCACGGCCACCGGCCTGGGACCCCTGTCCGCCCGTCCTCCCCAAGCGGTGCCCCCTGGGTGACACGGGGGTCGGGAAGGTGGGGTGATGTGGAGCTGTCCGGTGCCTCGCGCGCCCCCGAGACCCCAGGCAGGGACCAGGGGCAGGGCAGGGTCTAGCGCGCGCATGCGTGGCAGCGGCTGGCGGCCCCTCCCCCGGACCGGGTACTCACAGATGGCCCCCAACACTCCCGACAGGCGGCACAGCCAGTGGTACCACCACGTCATGCCCTCCTCCTGCGCAGGCAGCGCGGAGTTTGCAGACGCCGCCGCCCCGCCCGCACCCGCGCCGCTCATGATGCCGCCGTTCCGCGAAGCCCTCACCGAACAAAGGCTCTAGCTAGCCCCGCGTCGCTGCGGCGCAGGGCCTTGTGGGAGAGGCACGTCGTTAGCATAGGGGGCGGGGCGCATCCCCGTGGACTTGGCTCTTCTTAGCATAAAGGGCGGGGATCTCAAGGCACCCATAAAGGTTCGGCGATATTAGCATAAGGGGCGAGGCCTTGCGGCGAGAGAGACACGCCTACTCCTGGTAGTCTGTTCATCCAACCCAGGAATACCAAGCGGAAGGGGATATATTAGCATAAAGAGAGGTGCTCTTAAGGCACAGAGACGCGCCGGAGGCGGAGCCTAGTAGCGAAGGGACACACCCACCCCTGGCCGAGAACTGCTCCTGCCCAAGAATATCACAGAGGCGGGGCTCTTCCGGGTGAATATATTGTTAGGACGCCTGATGTGGCGCTGTGGGTTAAAGCGTGAGAATGCAAAGCCCTTTAAACTGCAAGGTCGGCAGTTCAAGCTCACCAGCTGCTCATCGGAAACCCTATACAGGGTCGCTATGGGTCGGAATCGACTCGATGGCACTTAACAACAACAACAACAACGAGGTGCCTTCTAGTCAGTTCCGACTCATAGCAACCGTGTGCACAACAGAACGAAACCCTGCCCGGTCCTACGCCAACCTTTGCTCCTCGTATCAATTAATCTCGTTTAGGGTCTTCCTCTTTTTCACTGACCGTCCACTTTACCAAGCTTGATGTCCTTCTCCAGGGACTCGTCGGTCCCCCCTGACATGTCTGAAGTCCAAGAGATGGCATCTCGCCAGACTCACCTTGAAGGAGCACTCTGGCTATACTTTCAATACAATTTTGTTTTGTTCTTCTGTAGATCATGGTACTTTCAATATTTTTTGGCAACACCTTAATTCAAAGGCATCGATTCTTCAATGACCTTCCTTATTCATAGCTCACTAATTCCTAGAGTGTTGATCTTTATGCATTCTATTTCATTGTTGACAACTTCTAATTTTCCTAGATTCATACATTGTACATTCCATGTTGTGATTACTAAATATGAATGTGTACAGCTCTGATGTGCCCCATCAGCATATGTTGTTGTTGTTAAGTGCTGTAGAGTCAATTCCGATCCATAGCAACCCTGTATAGGGTTTCCTAGGCTGTAAATCTTTACAGGAGCAGAAAGCCTCATCTTTACCCCTGGAACAGCTGGTAGTTTCGAACTGCCGACCTTAACGGTTGGCAGCCCGATTCATAACCACTACACTACCAGAGCTCCTTCCATCAGCATATGAAGGTCCTGGAAGCTTTGCTCCATCCTTATCATTCAGGTCAACTCTACTTTGAAACCACCACTCATCTGTCAGTTTGCTGCACGGTGGTGGCTTATGTGTTGCTGAGATGCTGGAAGCTATGTCATCGGTATTTTAAAGCCCAATAGAGTCACCTATGGTGAACAGGTTTCAGCTGAGCTTCACACTAGGAGGGACAAGGAAGAAGGAGATGCAGACTGTTTCCAAATGTCTAGCCTCTGAGAACCTTATGAAGGGCAGTGGAACGGCATCAGACAGCACCAGAATATCGAATACTGAAACATTGTGAATAGAACCAGAAGATTGTCAAATATAGTGCCAGAAGATGAGCCCCTCAGGTTAGAAGGAACTCAAACTATGACTGGGGAAGAGCTACCTCCTCAAACTAGAGTTAACCGTGATGACATCAAAGGAGTAAAGCTTTTGGAACCTTCATTTTCTGATAAAGCACAAATGAAAATGAAGAGAAACAGCTGCAAACATCCATCTGTAACATTTAATGTACAAAGTATGAATCTAGGAAAATTGGAAGTTGTCAAAAATAAACACATGAAGATCAATATCCGAGGTATGAGTGAACTTAACGGACTGGTATTGGCCCTTTTGAATCTGATAATCATGTGGTTTACTATGCTGGAATGACAAATTGAAGAGGCATGGCATCACATTCATCATCAAAAAAAAATTCAAACTCTATCTTGAAGTATAATACTGTCTGTGATAGGATAATATCCATATAACTACAAGGAAGACCAAGGAGCTCTGACAGCATAGTGATTACGAATTGAGCTGCGAACCTTAAGGTCAGCAGTTCAAAACTACCAGCTGTTCACAGGAGAAAGATGAGGCTTTCTGCTCCCATAAAGATTTACAGCCTCAGAAACCCTGTACAGGGTCGCTATGGGTCAGAACTGACTCAACAGCACATCACAACAACAAGGAAGGAAGACCAGTTAATACAATTATTATTCAAATTTATGTGCCAACCACTAAAGCCAGTGATAAAATTGAAGAATTCTACAAACTTTTTTAGTCTGAAATTGATCAAACATGCAATCAAGATGTATTGATAATAACTGGTTGGAATGCAAAGGTTGGAAACAAAAAGAAGGATCAACAGTTGGAAAATATGACTTTGGTGACAGACACAATGCTGGAGATCGCATGATAGAATTTGGCAAGACCAATGACGTATACCTTTCAAACAACATAAAGCACAGGTAAATAAATACCTTTTTTAAACAACATAGGAGACGACTATACACATGGACCTCACCAGATGGAACACAAAGAAATCAAATTGACTACATCTATGCTAAGAGACAGTGGAAAAGCTCCATATCATCGGTGAGGGCAGACTGTGGAACAGACTGTCAATTGTTCATATGTAAGTTCAGGCTGAAGCAGAAGAAAATTAAACAAGTCCATGAGACTTTGGACATATGCAACCTGAATTTAGAGGTCATCTCGAGAACAGATTTGATGCATTAGACACTAAAGACCATAAACCAGAAGAGTTGTGGGATGACATCAAGAACACCATACAGGAAAAAAGCAAAAGGTCATTAAGAAGAAAGGAAGGAAACAAACAAAATGAATGTCAGAAGAGACTCTGAAACTTGCTCTCCACTGCAGAGACACTAAAGCAAATAGAAGAAATGAGGAGGTAAAAGAGCTGAACAGAAAATTTCAAAGGGCAGCTCAAGAAGACAAAGTAAAGTATTATAACAAAATGTGCAAAGACCTGGAGTTAGAAAAACCAAAAGGGAAGAACATGCTCAGCATTTCTCAAGCTGAGGGAACTGAAAAAAAAAATTTAAGTCTCAACTTGCAGTAATGATGGATTCTATGAACAAAATATTGAATGATGCAGAAAGCATCAAAAGAAGGTGGAAATAATACACAGAGTCACTGTACCAAAAAGAAATGGTCAATGTTCAACCATCTCAAGACATAACATATGATCAAGAACCAGTGGTACTGAAGGAAGAAGTCCAAGGTGTACTGAAGGCACTGACAAAGAACAAGGCTCCAGCAAGTGATGGAAGACAAACTGATGCAGCATTGTAAGCACTCAATCGTCTATGCCAAGAAATTTGGAAGAAAGCTACCTAACCAACTAATTGGAAGAGATTGATATTTGTGGCCAGTCAAAAGAGAGGTGACCCAACAGAATGTGGAAACCATTGGACAATATCATTAATATCACATGTAAGTAAAATTTTGGTAAAGATCATTTAAAAATGGCTACAACAATACATTGACAACTAACTGCCAGAGGTTCAGGTCAGATTCAGACAAGGATATGGAACGAGAGATATCATTGCTGATGTCAGATGGATCTCGGCTGAAAGCAGAGAATATCAGAAAGATGTTTACCTGTGCTTTATTCACTATGCAAAGGCTTTCAACTGCGTGAATCATGACAAGCTACAGACAACATTGTGCAGAATAGTTATTCCAGAACACTTCATTGTGCTTATGAGGAACCTGTACAGAGACCAAGAGGCAGTTGTTCAAACAGAACAAAGGGACACTGAATGGTTTAAAATCAGGAAAGGTTGTATTCTTTCTCCATATTCAGTCAATGTGTATGCTGAGCAAATAATCCGAGAAGCTGGGCTATATGAAGAACAACGGGGTATCAGGACTGGAGGAAGACTCATTAACAACTTGTGATATGCAGATGATACAACCTTGCTTGCTGAAAGCAAAGAGAACTTTAAAAACTGCTGAAGATCAAAGACCACAGCCTTCAGTATGGATTGCACCTCCATATAAAGAAAA